TATTAGAATAGCATTAATTCTTTGACATAAACTGGTGACGTTTATGTGTAATGTAAATAAGCAATACACTGGTTCTGTATCTTATACAATGCAACAGAGCAGGGGAAATATGGTTCCATCAAAATGTTTCGTTTAACAGAAAAACAGTTCCAGTCACACAAGCCATATTTTTAAAATTTTTTTATTGGGGAATTGGGGGAATCGGAACAGACAAGTTGCTGTCCTTTTGTTCTTCAGTCTAGTTGTGGAGGACGTTGCTTAACTGGCCCAAGTTGGCACCATCATTGCACTCTTTCCCGGACGAGGCAGATCAGTCGCCAGCTTCTGGACAGCCGCTGCGGGCTACATACGGTAGCCCATGGCAACCCACTGCAGCAGGGGCAGCCGCTGATGACTCAACGGCAGCCCAGCTCCAGGTTGAGCTGTTGCTCAGCATCTTAGCTGTAGAGGGCAGTGTCACTGGCCCTCATGTGGGATCCGAATTGGGGCCCTCTGGCGTCCCAAGCCAGCTCTTAACCAACAGCACCACTCGGCCGGCCCAACACTAGCCATATTTTAAGTAATCAAAATCCACATGTGGCTAAAGACTACCATATTGAACCGTCTAATCCTTTGTGTGAGGGAAAACTTAACTGGGTTTAGAATTCTTGGATCTTTTCCATTTGTTGTGTGTTGCTCTATTAAAGTTCCTTCTAATGCTTAGTTTTACCTAGTAACCCCTGATGGGCAGCCAGTTTACACTTAAACCACTTTCAAGAATATAAAAAAGTCTAAAGGAAACTAGCTAAAAGAATTAAGTTAGCATCAAAAGCTATCTTTTATCTTCTGGATTTACTCAATTGTTTAGTAGGGGCACACTGGATCTCCTTTCTAAACTGAAATCTGAATGAAAAGTAATGGGAAATGAAGTTAAAATGCACCTTGAGAAACAAAATTCTTTGACAAAATATTCTTGTCAGGTCAAAGAAAAATTAGGGCCTTGCTGGTAAATACGAGGGATGTCAAGTCAGGAAACACTTACCTGTCTTTTCTCCCACAAGTGAGTGAGGCAGGAATCAAGGTTCTTACTGATTCTATTTCCCAAACACTTCAAATTCCCCTTCCTTTCTATTCTTACTGCCCTGCAAGCTGTCCTCAACTTATCATCTGTCAACTGGACCACGCCAGAACCCAGCTAACTAGTCTTACTTTTTTAATCCATCCTCCACAGTGCTGCTAGAGCGACCTTTTCCAAACAATAACCTGGTAAATGCTGTTCCCATTTAAAATCCTGTGTGGGTCTTTACTGCCACCTACAGGATGGTGTTCCAACTTGAGCATATGGTTCAAGGTTCAGAAGGCACCACCCACTCCAGTGCTCTCAGGGCTGGAAGTCCTCCTGGCTGCACACATCCTGACTCCCCACTAATGCTCAGGATGCTGAGTCCACACCCACACCTGCACCACTGCCTGAGGGTCCGCCACCTAGCATCAGTGTGAATATTCAAAGAAATGCAAGTCCTGCATTTTGCAGATTTCTTCTACACTGCCATTCCCGTTTTCAAAGTTTCTCATGGACTGGGTGGTAAGAACTGCATGAAGCTGGTAAAAGAACGGCACTAGCAGGAGTGCCATGAAGGGGAGATGCTGAACTCAGCAGGGCTGCAGGACTGGCAGCAAGAAGCTGTTAACTGACAAAGCAGCCAGGCTGGTCGGATCTCCAGGACCGCAGCTTAGACTCACTGTGCTAGGAAGGCTGGAAGGTTCTGGCATTAAGGCCACCTCTGGTCACACTGGTGTAGTGAGCAAAGTTTCCCGTGACAGCCCCAAATAATTGAATATGCTTTTGAGTACAGTGATTTGAAGTTTGTAGTTCAAAGAAAATGAGAAAACTGGCATCTCCTCATTCGATTAAAAATGTTAATGCTGATAAGGAAACTGTAGAAACCGGTCTTCAAGCCACCTGTAAGCCAGCAGTCTCCCAATTCCTAGCTTCAGACTAGTTGGTTAGACTCATCTGGGGAACAATCTACTTAGAACATTTTGTATTTTATTGGGTTGTCAGAAAAGTCATGACGCATGTTTGCAACAGATGGCACTAGTTCATTTTTGAAAGTACTAGTCATTCGCATCTATGTTATTGCTATGTCATTTGACAGCTGACAGTTCTAGCTTCATTCTAAAAAAAATGAGCGATTTGGTTGAGTTTTGGAAATTTTACAAGTTGAAGATGGAAGACCAAATTGCATTTTTGCCACATTTTACTGTTTTACTTCCATAAAGGAAAGAACGCGCGTCAAGCTTCTGAAAAGTTGCATAAAGTTTACGGTGACAATGTTCTACAAGAATGTCAGTGCCAACGATGGTTCACGAAATTCCGTGCTGGTGATTTTGATCTCAACAACGCTCCTCGGTCAGGGAGGCCCACTGAGGTTGATGATGACAAAATAAAGGCATTGATCGACTCAAACCCACGTTACACAACACAAGAGATTACAGAACCCTGAACATCCATCATTCAAGCATTCACAACCACCTGAAGAAGCTGGGCCATGTAAGCAAGCTGGATATTTGGGTTCCGCATTAACTCAGAGTTCATTCGACGGCACGTATAAACATCTGCAATATGCTCATTAAACGTGAGGAAACCGATCCTTTTTTGAAGCAACTGATAACTGGTGATGAGAAGTGGATTGTTTACAACAATGTGGTGCGCAAACAGTCTTGGTTCAGACGTGATGATTCGCCTCAAACGACATCGAAAGCAGCCATTCTTCAGAGGAAGGTTATGCTCTCAGTGAGGTGGGATTTTAAAGGTGTCGTGTTTTTCGAGCCCCTACCAAGACCCAAACAATCAATTCGAATGTGTCCTGTTGGCAATTGGACAGTTTGAATGAATCCATTATCCAAAAACGTCCAGAGCTTGTTAACTGTAAAGGAGTTGTGTTCCATCGCGACAATGCAAGACCACACACAAGTTTGATCACCCATCAAAAATTATTGGCGCTTGGGGCCGGCCGAGTGGCACGTTGGTTAAGACCTGGCTTGGGATGCCAGAGGACCCCGGTTCGGATCCCACATATG